TCTCCGCTCGTCGCATACGCTCGTGAGGTAGGCTGATCGCTATTATCGCATCGTCGACGCCAATTGTTCACACACAGCCCCGCGGCTCACCTTCACCGCCTCAATGCCGCCTGTCTCCTGTTCCGCCCAGAATCGCTTTGCTGTTAATCGAGCTCGCAAATTCGCCCATGGTTGATAAAAGTCGAAGTGGACGCCTCAGCTCCTCAATTCCGCCTCTCAGTTCGTTCCCGTGTTCCACCTGGCGATTGCGGCATAATGAGTGAGGTGGGCGATTTTATGATCTATCATCGTGCGTTCTCATGTCCTAACAGTCGCTCATGCATAGATGATTCTGAAGAAGACGTTCTCTGCACATGACTTGCCGGTTAACGCTATCGCGATCAGCAATGATGGCACCGTGATGTTGACTGGAGGTTAGCACCTCGCACTTGTATTCATATCTGGGCCTCATTGGTCGTATTTCTAGCCGATGATGGCTGTGTCATTGCGTGGGATATGAAGGCAGGCGAGAAGCTAGAAGAGATATCTTGCGTATTTCATGGCCCGGTCATCAGCGTACGCTGGATTGACCTAGGAAAAGGGGACAACCTTGCATTCGTCTGTGGGTGCGCCGATGGTACCCTACAGGTCTATCAGAGGGCAGATGTCCGTGTATGTCACATTCCTCAACCTCCCTTTCTCGCTTTCTCACGCACATTCATCCTTAGACTCGCGCACATTCATCCTTAGACTCGCTTCAGTTTGTGCTCTGTGACCTCCGCCCACAAAGGATTCGTACAAGATATCAATTTCGATACCAATAATGGTCGGATTGCCAGTGCTGGAGGGGGTACCGTTTCCATCTGGAAGCTTAACGGAGGCGGTGAGACCATTGTCTTTTGATCATTCGCTCTCTAACAACGGGTCTCAGGCAGTCTCGAAAGTATGACTACGGACGTGCCTGACGAAGGATATATGCTTCAATCGGTCCATTTCTGCGACAGCGGGGATAGTATCCTGTTATGCTACTGCGAGTCGCACGAGATGTAAGTTCTCGCTGCCACCTAAACTTGTACTTGTTCAGACTTATTTCACGATCAGTCTGTGTTACAGTGTAGATCCTTGGTCATTGAAATGGGCAAAGCAGCTGCCCACGCAGATGTGAGTCCCAGCTTTCACCTCTTTAAATTGATGCTGACCCTTTCTTCAGTGGACACTCTGTCTTGTCACCGGACGGACAGAACCTGTTCATTTCGAATCTCGTCAGCGGCGTCGATCAGTACAAGGTCCCATCATTAGAACGAATATGATCCTATTCCTACCCGATAGCCCGCAATCAACTAATGCAAGTCTGTGTACTGGGCACCCAGCTTGTGATAGGTGGAGACGACGGGTTTGCCCGGCTGTACGACATTGGTACAGGACGCTTGGTGCAAATGCTTGAACATAGCGGTGGTAAGCGAATTGTATTCGAGATTTGTCGCGCTGGCTGTTCGCGTCGCTCAAATATATCCGATCTACCTCTTTAACTTCTCGCGACAGACGCGACTCTGGTGCAAACTGTCTCGGTAAGTCACATCGCGTGACTCCCATACCTTGCTCACGCGTCTTTCCTTGCAGACTCACGAAGGTGCGCAAGACTGCGTAATTGTGACCGCCTCCACTGGCAATGGCCCATCAGAGATCAGAGTCTGGTCGCGAGTGCGTCATCATCTAGGTTTACCATATGTTGATATGTGTCAACTGATGGCTGCCAGCTCCTTGGAATCCAGCATGAACACGAGAACGGCTCATTATCAACATCTTGATCGCAGACGATGATGGTTGCCTTCCTAACTGCCGCGTTCGTGACATTCATTACTTCCGATAATGACTTCGGTCCCGGTCTGGCCGAGTACACCGCATACATTGCCGCGCGATTCTACGCTCTCTTCGATGACTATCGAGCCATGTAGCAAACAAGCACTCCAGGGTTTTGCACGCCATGTAGTATCTGATACTCGTTAGTGTCGGCACTGCTCGTGGGCACCGGTTTCCTGTCAAGTCAAGTACGTACGTACACCAGTATTGTAGAGAGCCATATGCCATGCGATGTACTGTACCATACCTGCCGTATACACAACATCTTCATGACGTCATAACGAATGAACACCGTTACTCGTGAACGAGACGATAAGTCATCGGTCTTTTCCCTTCCGCTTTCCTCTTCCTCTTT